CTGGTGCCGCAGCCAGCCGTTGCCGCCTTCTCGCCTACCGACTCACCGCAGGGGCCCCGGCGAGCTCCTTTCTTTCTTTTTGTATTTTATTGAAATAAAATAACAAATGCAATTCAAATTGAAACAAAATGGCGACAAGCAGAGGAATTAAACTCACTGAACAACACCTGAGACTCATATAGTGAGCGCAAGCGGTATCTTCTGCTGCCCGATTGACCGCTTTCTCTTCATCTGTTTTTTTTTTATTTATAGATTTAAAACGACTTCCAATCAAAAACTTTTCTTTTTCTTGAATTATACTTCTCCGGATGCTTTTCTCGCTGCAGTTTCGTACACATATACCGCCTGTGTGCGACTGGCCGCCCGGGTGTATGTGCAGCTTATACAGATGAACACTTTCCTGCATTTGTTTGCGCCAGAGTTTGAAACTTTTTTCTTTTTCTTTTCGTTCTCTCTTCATTATATGCATTTTCAATGAATGCTTTCTGTCACGATGCCGCTGTATTTCTCCTCTCTCTGCACGTGGTGTGATGCAGCATGTATTTCTTTGTCTCGCTTACCCTCTTGTATATTTGTCTTTTCCTTCTTTGATATTTTCATAAAAATTTGTTTCAACTGAATTTGCTTTCCTTTTTTCTGCTGCTGCAGCGATACATTCGTCTTGGTAGATGACGACAAGGATGGGCTGATAGACAAGAACCAGGTGCGCGCGTTGTGTGTTTTTTTCATTGAATTAAATATTTATTTTAATTGCAACGTAAATATAATCATTTATTTTATTTGTTGCGGAAATATCAGCACAAAATTCCCCCAGCAACTGAACAGATCGGCGAGGTTTCCATTTCTGAAAACATGAAACCCATTGGGGTGTACATGCAGCTACAAACACACACGCACGCACGCGCAAAAAACTACATATTAGTTCATGAATTTATCATATTTAAATATAATTATAATTGTAATTATAAATATAATAATATAATTAATTATATTAATTAATTGTTGTACTTTTTCTGCTGCTTTCGTTTCTCCTTTTTCAGTTCTTCACTCTTTTTCGAGCCCTAGGCCAGACGGTTTCAGATGCAAGTCTCACCAAGATATTTTCTGGTTCGTTTTTGTTTCTTTTTTAATTTTTTTCAGTTTTTATTATTTTTTTAAGTGACTCTATATTTCATATTCTTTGTTCGTTTCTTCTTCTTGATCTCCTCGTTGTTTTTTTTTTTTTTATGTTGAATTTTTTTCTGGTTGCCTTTTCCGTCGACTCCTTTTTCTTTTCTCGCGGATTTCTTCTTTCTTTTTCTGTTTACTTTTTGTTCTTTTTGTTTTTTTTTTGTTTTGTATTCAGCTGCTGTGATTGAAGAAGCAAAAAATGCTGCAAAGGCCAAGGAGGCGTCGCCGCCCGCCAAAGCTGCAGCAGCAGCGGCACCGAAGAAAGCAGCAGCTCCGCCCCCTGCTGGTGAGTGAATTTGTTTTTATGAATTATATATATTCAATATATCACAAATGTTTTAATGTTTTTTTTCTTTTTTCAAAGAATACACAAACAGCAGCAGCATCATTCTCGCTTGCATGCAGAGCGGGGCAGCAGCTGCTTTCACCTTATTCACAAATTCACATACAACAGTGCTGATGTTTATTCTTTATAATTATTTATTATTATTTATAATTATTTATTATTTTTTTTTTAATAATTATTTAGCAGCCGCTGCAGCAGCAACAGCATCACAATGTGCAAGAGTACTTGTGTGAAACTTGTATTATTTTTTTTGTTTTTTTTTGTTTTTTTTTGTTTTTTTTTTATTTTTTTTTATGAATTCAGGAGAATATGTTTCTTTTCAACAGTTTGTGAAGACGTTTGCGGATGCATATCAGAAGCCAGCAACAGAAAGTGCATTGATTAGTGCTTTTAATGTATTCGATGCAACAAACAGCGGAAAGCTAACAATGACGCAGCTGCATGATATTCTTACAAAAAGAGGAGAACCACTCACCAAAGAAGAAGTAGATGAAATTATGCTGCTAGCAGCTCTCGATCACGCCAAAGAAACAGACTACGCAGTACTTGCTAAACGGTAAGAGATAACACAAAACTGCAGCAGCAGCAGCTGCAGCAGCAGCAGCAGCAGCAGCACAAACAAAGAAATAGATAAAAAAACACTAATCATATACATTCAGCATGTAGATTTTTTGTAACATAGTCAGTACACATATAATAATAATATGTAGTGTTATAATAATTATTAAGCAAGCATATATATATATATATATATATATATATA